GAACACCAAGTGCTCTGCACTACGTTCTTTACACTTCACATCTCAGCTACAGAGCAAGAATTTAAAATGCCGACAAGCCTCTAAGATTGAATCCAGGTGCTCTGGTTACCAAGAATTTCAAATATTACCAACAGAAACTGGAGATCCAAGCCTTGAACTTGAGAATGTGAATTCAAATCTGAAACTGTGCATTTCTCATCTCTGAGGCACAAAGAAGAGCCATCTGTTCCTTCCTTCTAGGAGTTAGTCGTACAAAGGCAGCAGTAAGGCAACGTATGGACATCGTATCCGGACCATAAATACCTGCTGCTCCAGACTCCTGGCTGTAGCTAATGGAGGAGGAACGGATCGTCCTCAGGCGCAGGCTCTGAGCTCTCTCCTGGCGAGCAGCATCACACGTCTGGTTCGGATGCCAAATCTGCTTGCAGTGGTAGCAGAACTCGGTCCCGCAGCCTTCTCGCCCGCACGTAAGCTTGGGGCAGCTGGCACACCCAAAAGCGATCACGGCGTATCTTGGATGATCAAAGAGGGGCAAGAGAGTTCTGTTAATTGAAGCGGTTCTCTAGAGCAAGGAGTGCAGGCGGGGAGGCAGGCAGCAGTGGCAGGAGGGGACACGCCAGCCTAGGCCGCCTGCCACCCCTGTCCTCTACGGCCACAGCGCCGTTGCATTGCATTAGCACTGCACAAACACAGCAAAATGCATCCGTGCACCACACGGCCTCTCTCCTGCCTCCAACACCCCACACGGTGCTGCTGCGTACTCCGGTTAAGGCTGAACGCAGTGCCAAAGCGTCTCACAGCAGAACCACAATTTGGAAGGGAGCATAGAAACAAATGGTATTTACACAGCTTTAAATGCTTCAAAAGCATCCCAGGCACTAGGGGCCTATCTGCACTTGAGGCTTTCTATAGGTCGCAAAATGCCTCCCGAGTCAGCTGCAGTGTAATCCATTACCAAAAAGCCCCCTGACCTGACACCACAGGGTATCGTGGCATTTTAGCGGCTGCCTCTTACCATACATGCTGGTATTCTAAAGAAGCATTTGTTTTTCTCCTTGTATTTTAAAGCATCAAAACAACAGTGCTTGTTTTACATACAAGCATTTAGTTCCCCAGTTATTAGCAGAACTTCTTTTTTAAAAAAAAAAAAAAAAAACGCAGAAAAATTATTTGGGGTCCCATTACCTTCACTTACCAGCTTCATTGAAATAATGCTGCAGACTAAAAAGCTCTAAAAATATTGATACTTTAAAATAGCTACATTATTTTAATCAAATGCAATATAAACAAACAATTCTATCCTATGATCCCACGCTTTCCATAAATCACTAGAGCTTAAACTAGCTCCTGCGTTAAGGTTTGCATTTTGAAGTTCACATGATTTGTGCTTGACATGATTCGTATGAATAGTACCCCCCAAATATAGGCCTATACAGGCCTATAAACACAGCAAGCCTTAAGTTTAAGGTTATTTAAATGAAGGTAACTATTTTACATGATTACGTTACTAATCATTATTTCCCCTACCCCTTTTATAGTATTTTGCAAAATTCAAGTAAAATATTCCATATCAGTAATGAATACTAAAATTAATATATTTTCGCTCAAATATTTATCTGAAAATTCCACTATTTTCAAGTAGGTAAATCTGAACCTCTGTCAAGTCATACCAGTGTTATGAAGGTTTTAAAACAGCATGTTAGAAGTTCTCCCCTTCTAACAGTTCTGCAAAAACATATGAGCTTTCAAGCTGTAATTTATAGATTATGTAGCTACAAATAAGTGACATATGTGCTTAGCTATTTTCAAACATTTCTAACTTTCAACTAAATATAGTTTGTTTCAATAACTGTTAAATTGTTAAACAACAACTGTTAAACTGCCATTTTAATCAGCTCAATTTTCCCCACTCAAACTAACCGAAGAGACAACCCCTCCTGTACATACACAGAGAGACTCTGATCCAAATGTTTCTGCAATGCAAAGTCACTAATGTGACTACAGAATGATGCAGCAATTTATATCTTTTCTCCTGTTGCTAATAAAGCACAGACACATCCTTGAAAGCACTCCCTGGCTGGGACGCATTTACTGAAATGCAACTTTAAAAAGTTACCTTTTGGGCCATTTGTATGTTAGGCTGAAAAAAGGGGCTAAACAATCAAATTCAAACTAACAACAAACAAAAAGCAGAAGCTAAGAGTGATTCACTGGAGAAGCATGCAAGGGTGGGAAGAGAAAAGGAATGAAAAAGTTTTATTCCTTTGTCTAATCAGTTTTTTGGGTTGACACGGGCAAGAAAATCTAGGAACCACTGCTCTCTGCTAGAAAGGTTAGCAGTGTAACTCCTGAGCAAAAATTCAGCCAGAACAGAGCACAGAACACACTAGGAATACCAATTCATTCAAGCTTATCAAAATGACATCTGAAAACTTACATGGTGAAACAGAATATCCCCAAAATTAATCTGGAAGAAAGCCCAAGAGGTTTTCCCATCCGCGTCCCTTCCCCAAGGAAGGCTCAACTATTTGCAAGTGCCCTGCAAAGCCACAGCTAATGCCTTGCAGATGGACATGGGCTATATTACCTTTATGGTATTTCAATTATCTGTTACTGTGTGGGAGTGTTTTAGTTTGCAAGAAAAGATGAGGATGGAGGAGGCTGGGGTTGGAAAGAGCAGAGATAGGGTCCCCTTTTGGTTTGACCCTGCAGCTTCTGGGTTGCATAGGCTCACACAACATTGCAACAGTTTTTCTCCCACTCTCTCTGTCTTAAATTGCCGTGACTTTAGAAGTATGTATATATATAAATATATATATAAAAGTGTATATACATACATATACACAGAGATGAAAGATATATGCTTCTTAATCATTACTCATGATTTCCTGAGAAATAACACAAGAGGCCTGGATGTAGAAAACTATTATTATTCTACACTAATTTAGCTCTCCCTGCTACCTTTCAAGACCTGCCCCTCTAGAAGTCCTCACAGCTCCTGGGATTAATTGCAAGTTAAGGGCATTGCATCTAGGTCCTTCATGGAAATCTTGACTCGTGCTAGAACTAGGGCAGCTGCCATCACAGAGCCCCAGTGCCTCCTGACAGCTTTACACATGAAAACCCGATCAGAAGCAAATAACCCTTCAATTTTAACCAGATACTGCACCAGTTAGTTACAGTTACCAAAGCTGTTAGAGAAGTACAACTGCTGTAGCACCACCTGGTCACTGCTGATGTGGAATCCTTGCATGTTGTGTGGTACATCTGGTCTTTAAACGATGCTTGCTAGTGAAAGCTGCTTAGTGAAAAGCTGACTAGTATTTGCTTCCGTAAGTCTCACCTCTGTACAAACTCACTTGTGTAAAGCACTTCCCCATCACACAAAAACATCATGACAAAGTCTGCAGCAAAGGTACATGGTGAGGGCTGCCCACGTCATATTAGTGTGTTTCCCTTGCACACACGCACAAACACTGGCACGGTTGTGCTAGGGAAGTTCATGTTAGATATTAGGAAAAATTTCTACGTGGAAGAAGAGGTGAAGCGTTGGAAGAAGCTCCCCAGGGAGTCACCGTCCCTGGTGGTGTTCAAAGAAGCATGTGGATGAGGCACTTAAACCACGTGCCTAACGGATACGGTGTTGAGGGGCTTACAGTTGGACTTGATCATCTCAAAGGTCTTTTCCAACCATAATGATTCTATGATTCTGTAAGTAATTCCAAAATTCACACAAACTATTATTCCCTCAACTCATCAGTGTCCTCCTCCCCTCAAACCCTGTCACAGCCCAAGGCCATCCAGTTTGCTGAATTTCTGACACTCGGTTCTGGACTCCCTCCCAAGTTCTTTGCTTGGAATACGCTTCTCCTAGAACACCTAACAGTCATCACTTCTCCAGTCCCTGCTTTTGACCCACATTAGCAAAAACTACATTTAAAAATACTATTTTTTAAATATAGAATTTAAATGTGAAAGCATAATATTCAAGCCTACTTTAGTGAGAATTCAGGATATTTGCAGAACTGTTTAAATACTAAAATAACGTTGAAACGTTACTCTGATAATGAGTAGAAACCAGCCGATTGCAGTCTCACACCAGAATCCTGTTTACAGGCATCAAGTGCCTCAAACAACTGCAATACAGAAGATACCTGAAGCTGGAGAGTGTTTTCCATTCAAACAAATCTTCGACCATATTTCACACTTAAAAATAATGCTTTCATAAACAGACTAAATTAAAAATATAATACCACTAGCATTTGACCTGATTTTCAGTTTTTTTTTTTGGTCTGAGCTTTGCACTGTTGCCTTGGTAGTGCAACATCTGATTTTTTCCTAGCAGACACATAGCAACCACCTGCCAAGTTTCAGAAAAATCACCAAAATTTTCTGCAGAGAAAAAGAGAGAAGCCTTCTTGAGGAAGGATTTTGTTCTTTAATTTTTTTTTAAGCTACTGGTAAAACACATAGCAAAACTTTAAAGCAAAGCAATTAGCTCTTCAAAAAGAAGAATGCTTCTGATGAAGCAACACATGAAACTAAATATGTTCATTCAATCTAGGTAATTATCCTGTCTATACCATCTATGTGAGCATCCAATTATAATGAAATGACTGCAATATTGCAGTTGTCCCAATTCCATTAGAAATAAATCAGATATCTCGATAAAGCAGATATACAGATAAAAGTGATTCAGCAACAACAATATTAAGTCAAGAAATTCTACATGTCTTCCTAAATTGAATGAAAAATAGAGGAAAAGACAATAAAAACCCCACATACCCACAATCTGGAGCTGGGCACCACCTGCAATCAGGATCTGCAACAAGCCATCGCCTAAGCATGAACTCTTCATATTTTTCCATCAAGACGTCATCGTTCAATATTAAACGAATATCATGAGGATTAAACCGTTCTGAGCATTCTGGACAGCTAATATTAACTCTGCTCTCGGAGATTTCTATCCGGAGATACTGACGCAAGCAATCCACACAGGACCTGTGGTGACAGGTCATGATCTCGGGGAACCTGTCCTTGGAGTGCCGCAGAAGGCACAGGGGGCACTCCATGAAGTCTCCGCTTGGTTTGCTGCTAGAGGTGGTTCCATTATCGGAGGAGGTACACGTGGAGAAAATAGAGTTCTTGTCTGTGCACATTTCTGAATGAATGCTTTCAATACTCGCAATCCCATCGACGCCTCCATTTAAATCTCTTGACTTGCGTTTCGTGTCTTTTTTTCTCCGGAAGAGAGAGCCCAAGGAAATTCTTCTTTTCTTTGGTGCCTTTTTAACGGAAGGCAAACTCACAGAGGAAGCAGAAGACTGCAGGTCCCGATCAGAGCCCATTTGCCGATGTAAACTCATGTCTAGATCACTCATCAGAAACAGGTTAAATTTTCAACACAACCCTAATCATGGTTAAGGATGAAAATAAGAGGATATATGCTTAAGCCATACTGTTAAGTAATCCAGTTTGAGAGTCTTCATGCAGAAAAATTCTCACACATCTGCTTTCAGCAAGTTCTTCACAGAAGCTCCCTAGATAGGAGATAAGAAAAGGAAAAGGCAGATTAGAAAACATATTGTCACAATTTTTGTGAAAAAGCAGGGCACTCTGAACACCTGCTATTCACATCAACTACCACCTTCTCTTCACCAATGAGGAAATACATTTTTTTTTCTTCTTCTCTCCCCTATTAGCTCTTTCTCACTTTACCAGGCCTGAAACATCTCTAGAGGCAAGGCACACCTCACATCAAGCAGTGCTGAGAACTGCATCTTCATTCTCCTGTCCCTCTGAGGTGTGCGTGCATGTACAGAAATTGCCATCATCCAAGATGATGACTAAGTAAATGTACAAGTTCTTCTACAAAGCACAGTATAACACGCTTACAGCATTGAAAACTTCTTTTCTTTACCTGTTTTCCATATGTGCGATAAGGTCACGCACAGAACCAATGTAAGTTCTGTTACCGGAAACAAGAGATTTCTGTGCATTTTTTAAATCCACTTAGACTGCCAGCAGAAATCACTGTGATTAAATAGCTTAAGATACTCCCAGATATGAAGGGTTCACAGAGAAATAAGCAGCTGCACATAAATATGTAAAGCATGTGAATATTTCAGGAAACAGAGCTGGAGAGTGAATAAGTAACAGCCAACGCTGCATTGCTCTTGAATTTCCATACTGCAAGCCAAGCAGACTCTTGAGTTAAGGTGAGGCACCTCAATTTTTCATGACACTGATTAGAAAGACCCCCAAAAAGACTCTTATCGCATACTGTGTCAAATAACCCCTTCATACAGTAAGTCTGCGATGATCCATCTCCTGTCCCTTAACTGATTGCTTCTCAAAAGAGAAGGTACTTTCCCCCTTATCTTCCCACAGAAGTAGCATATCTCCAAGGAAAAATACTAGCTTCCCACAAACATGCCAAGCTTTCCCACTTATTGGCAGTGTATTTGTTTCAGAAGTATTCATCCGACCCTTAGCAAACTGCTTTTAGAGGGAAGGACAGGGCGGTTCTTAGGAGACATCAGGGTTGCATATCTGGATGCAACCACTGCTGGCACCACTTTTTTCTCAGTGTTCCCAAGCCTGCCTCCCAGAAAGGCACCTATTGGGTTCCCCCAATTTCACTGGAGCACGGAAACAGTAAAACCTGAGCATTAAAAAAAGTCAAAAAATCAGAAACAGAAGAATGCACAGGACCCACTGGTGACACAAAACGGCCGTTTTTAACTCGAGCACTATGGCATGGAGAGGCAGCAGCTCTCGACGTCCTGGCCGACCGCAGTGCCCTGCCCGAGGTGGTGCCCGGCTCCGCATGAGGCGGCTGCGGGAGACGCGTGCCGGGTGTCGAGAGCGGGAATGCGGCTCCAGGAGGGACACAGGCTGCGTGCCAGCAGGTTGGCTACGCGCACAGAAGCGCAGGGCCATCCTCGGGCTCCCGCAGCTCCTGGGTGCACACGGGCTGGCAGGCACCACGGTTTTTTTTAATTAAAACAAGAAGAAACATTTTCAGGTAATATTAAACATAACCAGCTTAAAACCTAATCAAAAGCCACCTCGGATGCTTTACCTCGATCTGCTCGCAAAACTGTTTCAGTACTTTAGAGCTGCTGTTTCTCATTTCAGCAATTAAAACATTCCCTCATCCACAGCAAGGAGGAGGTGGAGCGGAGGAGTCGTGAGGCAGCGATGACAGGAGGGAGCGCTCCTCTCTCGAGGAGCTTGGCGTTACCCTGGCCGCAGGCGCTCCATGCTGCTGGAAACATCCACCCAGACACAAACCCTGCAGTCTACTGCCAAAGGTGCGTGAGGTTCGAAGGTCTGGAGCTACAGGGATGACACTGAGGGCGGTGACCAACTACGCGGTGACCAACATGGAGGAGATGAACAGCAGTCAAAGCATTCGTTTCAGATAAGACTTTCTGTTAATGCAGGGAGCAAACACCAGGACACAGCCAAGTCAACCCAGGCCTCCTCGGGAGGGGAGGAACGCAGCCTACAGCACTCCTGCCAGCTTCAACAGATGGACAGGATCAAGCCTGGAAATGCCGCTGACGAACCAGTTGTGCTTTCTAAATAAACAAGATTCGCCTCGCTCTGAGGCGGAGGACGGGCAGCTCGGCCCACTCCACGCAGGGCTGCCACATAAGGGCTCTCCCCAGAACAGCAGGGTGCTCTGGCGAGGCTGACAGCCACGCTTGGGTCAGGCTTTTTTGAGTAGAGAAGCTGCTGGTTATTTCAGGGCAATCAACAGTTACTCTCTTGGAGATTTAAAAAGCCGGTCTTCAACTGACTCTTCCTTTTACGGTAATTTTGAATTAGTGACGTTAACAGATGGCTTCACTGAAGCGAAAAGATACAGGAGATGATTTATTACAGGAAAACTGAAGACAAATCCTGTAAGAGATCAGAGTTGCATGAACCCGTAAAAGCCTCTCTAGCAACGCACAGAGCCCTGGCCTGCTCCCATATTGCCCAACCCAACCAACGTCTGCAGGATGACAGAGAAGGCAGAAACATCTCCCCTAGGAGGGCGGCATAACACAGAGCCTGAGCGACCCAGAGGAAACGGCCTGTGAGGAAAGCAGGGCTGCGAAATCAAAAGGCTTGGAAGGAGCCCGAGACCTGCTGTAATGATAGCGCATGTGAATAACCTGACTTGGAGAAACAGCATCCGCTTCAAATGCCTGCACAGACCGCTGCGAGTTTTGCCAAGGATATGGAAGAGACCAGTGTGGGCAAGGGGGATGAGGGAGAAGCAAAGCAAGAAAAATAAGCAAACAAAGAAAACCTAATTAGCAGAACGACTCCTAAAAAACACAGACTCACAAGCATCCCCATCATTTCCTCAGAAGCACTTGGAGACTGTGGAAAAGTCACAGGTTTTGGCTTCCTGCCCTGCCTGCACCTACCACAAGAGAAAATTCCAGCAGTTCTTTGAATTCTCCTCAAGCCACAGACTGCCACAAAACACCACTGGCCGCAGCACAAAGGCCCCTTCCCACCGGAAGGTTTCCAAAAGCACAAATGATGGCAGAATTCACATGGTGTATCTGTTCCTTCAGGAGTCTCCCCCAGATTATTTGCTGAGGAAATCTAACATTGCTAACACAGTTCATCTCCTTCTGCAACTCTTTTCAAGCACACTGCTCTAAGTAAATGCTATTGCTGACCATAAAACAGAGGAGGGCAGAAAGCAAAGGAGTAATATTCCCTACAAATGGTATAGGACAAAGCTCCAAATCAGAAAATGACTAGGGGTGACAAACATCTGGTCTCTCCCCCCATATCCTAGCCTATAGATGACTCAACAACTTCAAGACTTCTAAGAAATAAATGCTCCAGGACAGCTAGGTGTAACCATACTGATTTTGCAAGGAGAGTGTGATAAAATCTGACTTCTGCAAGCTAGCTGCTGCAGAGCAACTCGGCCATGCTCCTAGCTGGAACCTGGGAGCAGCTAGGTGCACTCCAGCTCACAGGAGCTACCAGCACAGAGCCTCACACATCTTTGCAAAATAAAGGTTTACATGTGCATGTAGGAAAACAGGAAAAAAACACCCACCAAGAATGACGGACAGAGGCAGCTATGTCCCCACTAAAACCCTTAAACATTCCCTTCATGCCACTGGCACTTAGAAGACATATTCTGACTTTTCCTGCTGCAAGTGAATACACTTCATTTTAGCCATTTCTTCCTCCCGGTAATTTAACTGAGCACTAACTTAGAGTTGTTATAAGGAAAACTGTTTCTTGATTCAAGCTGATAATAGCTTCTCTCTAATGTCTATTCGGTCCAACATCCATACTCCGGAGCTGCGCTACTTCAGCTTAGGAAGAGCTGTAGCACAAGCCCCCCAGCTCCAAGATCATCCAGCGATAACGTGTGATCAGATCTGAAACACGTCCTGCCTCCCTACTGCAGAGCCCTGGTCCTGCCGCGATCAGGGGGCAACCTCAGAACTTCCCATCCAAAACACTGGCACCTGGAAACATCTACAAAGCAACTTGCCCTTTTATTTACTGCTAAAGGAATATCTATTCAAAAGGAGCAATTTTCGTGGAACAAGAAGCAAGTGCACCTTGAATTCATTAGGTCTAGTGCAAATCTAATTCATGCAGATGTGAAATACCTAATGCTTTTCACCCAGCTGGAGAATAGTATTTGCTTTTTGATTTTCAAAATATTTCTGACCAAATCCAGCCACATGAGTAGAAACTCATGTAAAGCAGATTGGGCAGAGAAGGTATCTTATTTTTAAAGATATGTACATTATTTTACGCTATAAGAACCACAAAATTAAAACAGAATAAAATATAGAATGTATGAAAATAAACAAAAGTTTAAGTTATTAAATACCTATATACAGCATTTTTAAACATGAAAGAAATCCTTTTAAACTTCTTCAATATTAAAATCCATTGTGGTATGAGTTAATTGGGATGGGAGTGTGGGGGGAGACAACTTTTCTCCCTGTCCACCCTCCACCCTTTTGTTTATTTTTATTTATTTATTTATTTATTTTAAGAAAGCATCAATTCATTTCTTTGCTAGCCCCAGTTTAACTAATAAAAACCTGACATCACTAAGAGTTAAAACAGAGTGAGCAATCAGTCTTAAAGTGTTCAGCGTTGATGGCTATGTGCTTCTATGGCATTACATCCCACTAACAACAAAAATCTCAATATATAAGCATCAGACCACGCTAGGACTACTAGGCAAAGGGGACGGTGTGACGTATAACTTGGATTCCTAATAAAGAGTTGATGGAATCGAGATTAAACTGAAAAAATATTCCAATAAAGTTAACAAATCAGAAGATTTCTCAAGCTTTAGAAAGGAAAAGTATCAGTAGGTCTGGGTAGTTATCGAACACACACAGTCATTTGTTATATTACACCAGAATAAAGAGACACAAATTATTTTATAGTGGGTTTAAATCAAATTGAGATCTGCCAAACTACTGTAAAACAAATTGGTGTAAATTTTACTCATCGTAGATTTATTTTCAAAAGAAGGCAACA